GTCCCCGCCCCGTTAAGTCCCGCGCCGGAACAATAGGCCGTGTCGTCGAAAGTTATCCGGCCAGCTCTCGCCCGCGCCGAGCTTTCGCCGCTTGGCTCGCGGCGATAATAACGCGCCGACAATATGGACGCAGCGGTGTTTAACACGTGCAAAAATCCGGAGAGCTTTCGCGCGAGTAATCACTGGACTGAGAATATTGTAGTATCGTAGTTTTAACGGTAGAAATAGCAGAAAAATTAGTGGTTTTGATTGTTTTGTTTAGCAGTTATTGGTGGGTTCGAAGTATTGAATATTCGAAATGATTTTGAAAATAAATTGCTTCATTTCAGTAGCATAATGAAAGCTTGAAGAAACTGAAAATAATCTGTTGTTGCAATTTTTATAGGAATTGCATGTTAATCGTGTTAAACGCTCGGTAGTTCTGGTGTTAAGACAGTGGGACTGTGTATTTTCTCAGTTGAATTATTCTTTTTTAATTGAATTTCGGAGATTTCCCACAGTTAATTTTATAATCGTTATTGGGAAACTCGAAGAGTCAATCCAGAATACATCACTAAACTTAGAAAAGAATTTTCAGTTAAAAATTCGAAAGATCGAACATCGACTCATCTGATTTCTTCAAAAGTGTGCTTCTCTGTTGAGACATTTTCAAATGATATTATACAATTTTCAATGATATTAGTAAAAAGAATAGAAATGTTTCCTTTTTACCGAATTCCTTTCGTAATACACTTCGAAACACTTTGAAATACAAAATCATCGAAAAGAAAATCTAGAGGACACTCTACAAAGTGTGAAATCATTCAAAAGAATAAACATGTTTCCCACTTACCTTCCTTTCGAAAGACACTTCGAAATACTTTGAAACACACGATCATCGAAAAGGAAACGTAGAGGACGCTACAATGTGAGAAATCATCGAGTTGCCTCTCGCCGCGCGAAATCCTCAAAAACCGTGATATCCGAAGGTGCTTATCGGTTAGCTCGAAACTCCGTGAAAGAGGATCGATCAGCTGAAAATAATGGGGTGTCTCTGCGCCCGTATCCATTGTTTATAGTCACCCCTATCCCGTCCGCTCTCGAACCGCTCCGAAAGAATCCCCGACACCGTCGAGTCGCCGACGGAACCATCTCTATCTTCATCAGTCAGGGTAATTCGAGCCGGGGACGACGATTCCGTCGAACAAACTTATCCGACTCCGTCCCCGAAATAATTGGAGCCTTTTTAAATCGTTCGGCGGATAAAACCGGCCGCCCCTAATTGTATCGGGGCGGATTCTTTGAAACCGGCTGAAAGGGCCGATCAATGAGGCTCTCTCGGCTAACGTCTCATTGAAATATTGAAATTCTTAATGAATACCTCGGATACCTGGAACGGATCCGCCTCGTTACTCGTAAATAATCTACTTTAACGTTATAGGAATCGCGGGAGGTTACGGTACACGCGAGCCTTTCCTTTCATAGCCACCGGAACCCGATAAATCTCGAGGAGAAAGAATTATCCTTCGACCGAGAAGGTCGAATATTGTGAAGATACCTCTCGCGAGCCGATTGGCTGAATTCATTCTATCGCGAGCGCGAGCAGTGGCTCTTAACCCTTTGAACTATGTAGGCTCCAATGTTGCAGCAGTTGTAATATTGAATATTTTAATGAATTTTAAGGAAACTACCTTAAGATTATTCCATTTTTCACACATCCGAATTTTGTACTAAGGAAAATAAAAGACTGAAGAATTTTACTATCGACACTTCGGAAGAAATGCAAGAAAATTCTCTATTCTACTTCAAGTGGAAATTTCATTTGAAAATAATACATTTTGACAAAATAATTGTTTGCTTTGATCTCTGGGAATAACATTGACAGATATGCAGATTTAAAATTAATTTACCAAGTACCCACGCATAAATTCGGGAAAGCTGTTTCCTTCCAATATTTCACGTATCGATGCATCACACAGAGATTAACGATTAAATACCAAAGTTCACGAGATCAAAGGGTTAAGAACCACTGACGTAGGTGCGCGAGGCCGTCCCTCCGATCGGGAGCGACGAGCAACTTCTGCCCGTCTGTTTTCCTTCGGTAAACGAAAAGCGGCGCGGTCTTTCGCCGGCCGTTAATTGCGTTTCCGTCGGGGCCGCGATCATAATTCCGATCGTCGTTGAATCGGGAACGAGTCCGGCGACTTTGCGAGGGGCAGCGGCGTCGAGGGGGAGACGGCGCGGGCTGCGAGAGATTACACCCCCGGGGAAATCAGTAAGACACCACCTTCGCGAATACTCCGCCGCTCTTTCTCCTTTTTTTTTCGAAAACTTTTTATTCCGCTCGAGGAAACGCGCGGAGGGCCGGCGTGTAAAGTTCCCCGCTCCCCGCTCCGGCGTGGATATATTCCGCTTTTGTCTCGCTCGCTTCCCTTTCACGCGGCGTTCTCCTCTTCTCGTGAAAGAACGAAGGGACAGAGGATCATTTGGAACTCGCGGCGACTCGACGATCGTTCGGCTCGTTTCGCGGGTGACCCGGTTTCGAGGAACGTTGAATCTAATCGTTCACTGACGATACTTGGCACTAGAACTACCACTGTTGTAATTTATATGTGATAATGTTAATTATTCTTCTGTGGGAAAGATTACGTATTTTTGATATCCAACAATATTCTACAAATTCCACCCCCACGTTCTGCATGAGGACCGTTCCATTCTCATGTCATGACATTAACTATTTTAATATTAATTATTCTTCTTTAGGAAGGATGAACACAAACTACCAATCATTCCAATCGCAATCCTTCCAAATAAATGTAGAAAAAATTCGAACTTCAGTAATTCGAACTTCAGTAATTCACATTCCGACGACTGAAATTTCAGTGACTGAAACTTCAATAATTCGAACTTCAATCATTGAAGTCCCAACAATTCGAATTCCAGCAATTCACATTCCAACGATTCAAACGTCAGTAATTCAAACTTCAAGAATCCGAATTTCAGTAATTCACATTCCGACGACTAAAATTTTCAGTGACTGAAATTTCAATAATTCAAACTTGAATCATGTTACCTTTAAATGGTACAATTGTACTACAAATAAATATAGAAAAAATTGTTAAAACAGGTAGAGGTTGCAATAAAATATGTCGAGTCTGACTCGACACAGGACTGCTAAGGGTTAAAGTAACACAGAATTATGGAAAAGTAAAATGTGACATACCCACTCGATGCCCCTTTCGTCAATCTCCAATGATTCCATATATATACGTTCTTTCATCGAAAGTCCAGCGTCTTCTGGGACGTTCAGAAACATCACGCCGAAAGTATGCCGTTCCACGCGACCTCTTAACCCCGGCCCTCTCGAAATCAAGTGGCAAAGGGTGGAATCCCCTAGAGTTGTCGGTAGCCTTCCGAAGTTTCTTATTTCTCAAAGACGGCCGGGCCACTCGCATCCTCCGGGTTCGAATTCTGGCGCGCGGAGGTTGGCCGGGGACTGCAAATTAATTAAAACCGACCGAGTAAAGAATTTCAAGTTATTCCCAGGCGAGGGAGCACAGGCGACTCGAGTGGCGCGAATCTTTTTTTCGAGAGCAAAGTAAAGCGAGCCGGATCAAAGCGAACGCCGTTCATCGTTGGAAAGTCGGCCATTTCCTTGAGGGTTAGGCCGCGTTTACATTGCTGCTGCGATAGTCGATACCAGCGGAACGTGGGAACATTTTTCGGTGTTTCTGCTGTGGAAACATTGGCGTTGACTCACCGAGTACGGAAATGATCTTCGGTTCAAGGGTCGTGCTACTCCTTTGCTTCGGTCGTCTATGTAATCGACGTGAAAACATTAATTACTGTTTATTAAACCTGTCACGTGTCCTGAAACTATTCGATCGTAACTCCGTTATGAACGCTGTCTTAAGTAGCCTCTATCGGCGCTGTGATCGACGATCTCTTCGCTAATATTGGTCGTATGAATATTGATGAATTATGGCGAACATCGACGAACATCGACGAACATACGCGAGAACACTTAACGATTCTCCTTGTTTCTCACCGTTAATCCCTTGCGCTATTTCTTTAGTAACTATCGATACAACTATTCCATTGTTGATTTATTAGGAAGCAATTTTTATGCTTGTTCTACGTCTACGTTTACTTCAATGGGAAACGATTGATAGAAAGGTAATATTTAAATTTCTCAAATTCAGTTGAAAATTTTCGTCACGAGTCTGACACGATATTGTAGGTCATTTAATGTTCTCGATAATTTAGTAAACCTGAATACAAAGGTCACCGATCTCGTTCTCCATCGGAAGCGTAAAATATCCGAACGTAGGTTCCTCTCGCGAAAACACTTAACAATTCTTCTTTCTTGTACCTTTAACGTTCTTCTCGACAGTTGCCATTCGACAAGCCTCGGTGAAAAGGTCGCAGATCACAAAGGGTTACCGACTGCCCAGAAGCCGTCGAGGGCATCTTTCACCCCCAGATAGAGGAGAGATCTTCGCGGTGAAGTGCGCTCGGGGAATCGCACAATGGCGATTGAGTGCAGCGGCACTCAGACGTCCCTCGCGCTTTATGGAAAAAACTGACGTCCGTCCCTCTAATTCAACGTTCCACGTCAATCCGCCACTTCTCGCGAGTACTCGCCGCATGAAACGGAACTCGCGCCGCGCGGGCGGCCGCTAACCCGCGCCCTCGATTCCTTCCGTTTCGGCTCCACCGTTTTCGCGGCTTGAATTCATTTTTATCTGGTACAGTGCTTCCCGCTAAGGGCTGTCGCCCTATAGAGTGGCAGTTTGGTTTTTAACCCTTTGATGAAATCATGTTTGGAAGACTAAGTTGCAGGAGAATGATTGAATTACTCGGACAGCAAGAGATTAGCATGTAGTTTCTGTTTTTGCTATTATTTAAGCAACTAAATTTCGTTGATCGTCTACTGTGTAATTGATTTCTATTTAATCCTAAAATATAATGTATACAATTTAATGGGGACACAATAATAACGTGAATTTATCTTTTTACAGAATTCTAGACGGCCACCGTGCAGAATTTCGTCGAGGCTGTTCATACGGAGTCACTTTCGGAGACAGGTATTGTGCTCTATTCAAATACTTTCAATTACTCAATTTCTTTACATTAGTCAAATAATTTATATTATTTGTATTCATACTGTACTATTCTACTGTATTCTACTTCACCATATGAAAGTTCTTCGGTTCCATATCGCTTCAAAAATGGTTCAAAACCTACAGAAAAGTGTAAACAGAGAAATGTAACAAACAAAATCTATTCTTTCTGTTTCTGATATAAAAACCACTACATTCGCGAGTTGTCCTCGATGAACTTGTTTCAACGAATATTAGAAACACCAGTAAATCTTCATAATAATGATGAACATGTAACTGTTCGTGTTCACGTTAATACGCGCTCTAGTTTTAATTCCCCGAAAAGTCGCGCGCGTATACGCGCTCCGCAGACCAGGAAAAATCCGCGCATATCCGTGCTCGCGATGCAAATGGGTTAAGGCCGATACGCAGCCGCCAGAATTCGCCGACGCGAAATTTCGAGGCGCACCTCTCTCCCCGCTGACCTACATCAAACTACAATGAGGCCTATCGAGGCGCGCCGATATCATCCCGAAATTACAGGGGGAATTACGCGGGCAAAGCGCAGGGGAGGATGGTCCATTGAAACTGCCTTGAAACTTCATTGAACTCGCGCGCCGCGCGTGGGAAACTTCTCGAGCACTTTTGGCAAGTTCGCACGTTTCTTTAACTGTCCTGGGAGTCGCCGTGACCGATCCGAACAATTTTCTCATTATTCCCGCTACCCCTATATCGTGGAAACCGCGTTTTCCCCTTCGCCCGACGTTCGCTGTCGGCTGAAACACGCGGACGCGGGAGGAAAGTTGCTCGCAACTTCATTTTTATCCGTTACAGACTACTAATTGAAAACTGAATTGAAGCTTCAATAGTCTTAGTTTCTATAGAGAACTTTCAAAAAGTCAATAATAATGAAGACTCTTGAAACTTTCGATAGAAGCTAGATTATCTAGCAATTGCTTGACACGTTCACGCAAATCTTAACCCTTTACTCGAGAGGTGACTCTCAGTCACCATTTAATTTCATATAAGAAAATTCCAAAATATTATATACAATATTAAGCTCTGTATAATGCACCAGTGAAATATTTCTACAAAATATCTTAATATCATTTCTATAAAATGTCTATGTTTCATCGGAAAGTGTCGAATCTTAGTGACAAGCTCCGAGTACAAAGGGTTAAGCGTTTTCCCTTGTTTCTTTTGTAGCAAAGGAAAGGATCATTAATTATTTCTTGTCGCAATGTTCGCGTTATTATCAGCTTAGTTACGTTACTGAAGACGATCATTTCGCACCGGTTATCTTGTATGCTACGATTGTTCTCTAGTCACTCAGAAGCGTTAGTCACCAGCGACTGACATGGCGCTTATCGCGTTAATCAATAGAGGAAAAGGAAACTTCGCTCCATTTTTCCATTTCACGCGCAGAACGCTCCAACTAAATTCCACAGTTAACAGGTTAACTGTTTCTTTCGTTTCGAACGTAATAAAAAGACACGCAAACCTCGCGTTATTCATGGGACCGCCGATGTAATAGCTCCGCAGCATTAGCCAGCGTTCAGGATGTTTATGCGCCCCGTTGTGCGGAGCACGAGACAACTCTTTATTGAAATTGCCGCGAGAACGTATCGCCGACGGTCCTTTTATCGCACCCATCGCGAGGAGGACCGCGGCGTTGCCAGCAGAAATTGAATCCCTCGACGCTCCCCGTCTCCGCCATATTTTACTCCGACGCCGCGAAGGGTGGGGGTGCTGGTTAAAAATTTTATAACGGTGCCCGGCGTGTTTCCTTCGCGACATCAACTTTTATTGCGGCCATCGAGCGACGAATTGAGTCTCGTCTGTCGAGGATTCGAGAGCGGCCGCTGTTCGACCCTATTTTGCATCGCCGACCTCGAAAGACCTTCGAGTCGATCGTTTCATTCGGAGTTCCGGGGACGTCCTCCGTTTGTTCGAGATGCGTTCGATGTAACGAGATCGAACGTGTAGACGAGAAACTTTCTTCCGCTGGAACGGAGACTGTAGGACGATCGAGGGATTTAGTGTCTTGCTTCGATTTCCGTTTTCGTCGGTTTTGTTTAATTTAATCCTTTGTGGACGAATGTCTACGTTTCGGCGAGATGGAAGTTTCGTATTTAAAAAACTAAGTCGTGGACGAATGATTTGATTACTCGAACAGGAAAATATCAGTAGTTTCCTTTGTTTATATTAATTAAGCAATTGACAAGTAATTCAGCTGCATCTGCTGAAGGTTTCGTATATTTTATAGAATCTCCGTCCGCAGGGTTAATTTAATTTAATCGACGTTCTCGAGTTTTTACGTGTCACGTCGAGCTGAATTCGTTTGAATTGGATTTGGGAAATATATATATTACTTAGTTAATTCGAATTCAAAATAAATATTCCTCTAATCATTATACTTAAGTGGAAATACAGGCATAACATGTGTTCAGAATTTTTCTCTTTTCCCAATAAATTATCAATGACAAAGCCGTATCGATTAGAGTTCAGAAAGAGATGATAGCCCAAGTGTTTAAATTCGGTTCCATTCTTGCCCAGCTCGAACTCGGTATCAGAGGGCAAAGGGTTAATTATGTCCAGGAAAACCGCTAAGAACTCAAAGAAACGAAAAGTCGCGGCTGGGTTCGTAGATAAAGCGAGATCGATCCGACCTCTCCCGGCGGACCTTAAGTCTTTCGGGATTCCGGTCAATGGATTTAAACGCGCCGCTAGACGAGAAACTTGGACCGTTTCCACGTGTCTCGGAATCGGCGAAGATTGAAATTTGTTAGACGCTGCTCCGGCCGTGTCGGATTCATCGCCGCGGCGGGGACCTTTGTCTCGGGGAACTTTAGTGTCGTCGGGGTTCGGATAACGAAGGGAATGTCTCGTTTCCGGCTCTGGTTTCTCGTGTCTCTTCTGCTTCGGACTGAATGCGGTATCGGCGATGGCTCTTCGATCGATTCGATTGCGAGCTAATATCTTACACGTCGATGACCAGTGTAAGCGCCTACTTACAGAATTCTGTAATACACTGTCGTTACCAGCGTTTCTTATCTAATCGTGTCAAATGGTCTTTCTGGACTTCAACCCTTTGAACTCTGTAGGCTCTAATACTGCACCAGTTATAGTATTGAATATTTTAACGAATCAAAGAAACTACCCTAAAATTATTCGATTTTCACATCCAAATTTTCTACTGAGAAGGAAAATAAAAGATCGAAGGAATGTTATGGCATTTCTAATTTTCGCTAGAGATACTATAAAAATTCGTTGCAGTTGCTGATAGATTACAAAACCTGGAGTACTAGGGTTAACCCATTGAACTCTGTAGGCTTCAATATTGCGCCAGTTATAATATTGAATATTTTAACGAATCAAACTACCCTAAAATTATTCGATTTTCACATCCAAATTTTCTACTGAGGAAAATAAAGGATCGAAGAAATGTCATAACATTTCTCATTTTCGCAGGGAATACTATAATTAGTTGCAGTTGCTGATAGATCACAAAACCTTGAGTGCCAAGGGTCAATACCTTCGAATCCCGCGACGCGCCTTGGCGCAGGGGATGCGCGCGGATGTAGCGAGCGGGTCACGCTCGAAGGAAGCTGCATTCGGAATATTACGAACGCGGCTTGTGTCCGGCGCGGTCCTTCGCCGGGCTGACTGGCCGTAATGGAAATTGCGGGTATAGTAATGGGAATGCAAATGTCGCGTGCATCGGGACCGCGCGAAAGATCAAACAACGCGCCGCGATCCGGCCAGGACCGCAAAGGATCGGGAGCCAGCCCGGCTGTGTCTATTATTCGCTCCGTGACCAGCTGAAACCTCTCAATTACCTTTCCAGCGTTTCTGGGTCGATCGACCTCGACATTTGACGAGGCTATTTATGCACCCGGGGCTTAATCGTTCACGCTCTTGCCCGCGTACCATGACGGAATTCCCGTGGAAGCCGACGACAGAGGACGCTCGACGGACAAAAAAATTCCGTTCGGGGTTAAACTAAAAATTACACTCTCTTTTGAAGTAACGGCGAAGTTCGCGCGATCGTTTAACCTTTTGCTCTCTATACGTGCCCTCTCGGTCGACAATTAACTTGTCAGGGCGCTGTTATAACGTTTCGTATTTAATATTAACACGCTGACTACCACGAGGAACAGCGTTTTATGTGTTACGTTTTATTGGAATTATATTTCTATAAAATTTCGGGGGTGTCAAGTTTTCTCAATGATATACTTTGCGTTTCGATTGCGCTATTATATGAATCAACTGAAGTTTATCCCTGATATTGTTATTTTTCAAATGAAAATCATGTAGCATCGACTACTTAGTAACCTTCAGTTCTCGTTATAGTTAACCCTTTGCACTCCGAAGTTTTTCACTAGAAATATTTCAACATTTTCTGACGAGACGAAGTCGATACTTTGTAAAACCAACTCGACGAGAAATTCACGCGAATTGACGGACAAAGCTATTTTACGTCAATATTTCTCAGATTGATGCATTGTATGAAGTATAATATTAAATATCAAACTTTATAGCTTCACTGTAGGAAATCAAGTGACTGAGTCACCTCCCGAGTGCAAAGGGTTAATATTATACCTTATATAACGCATCAATTCGAGAAATATTGAAATAAACTAGCTTTGTCCCTCAATATACATGAATTTTCGCTTCGAGTCAGTTTCACAAAATATCGTCTTTATCTCGTTAGAAAATATTAAAATATTTCTAGTGAAAAACTTGTGGGTGCACAGGGTTGAATGTGGTCTCGTCGAGAGACAGCCGGGCAATGCGCCATTCGCAATCGCGCACGTTTTCGCAGTGGCGTCAGAGACAGCTGAAGGTCAACAGACCCTCGCGTTCTCCTCGTCGCCCCGTTAATTGCACTGTCGGAATGAACGGTCGCGGTTCAACTTCGCTCGCGAAGTCCACCCCAGAAAGTTGCCGGAAACTGGGGGCAGTTTGTCCGCAGCGGGCCGCTG